TCTGAATTCTAGGACAGTAGAAGCAACAAAAATAGCTAAAAGATGCATTTTATGTCTCACAAAACTGTAAGCTAAGCTTCCATAACTTAACTAGGAAACAGCAGTACCTTTTCAGTCTTGATAAAAGGTTTTTCTTGATCATTTTGAATGAATTTGCTCAAGTATATCAATGAATGTAGACTAGGATGGAGAAATAGATCAATTTGGTGCCTTCTAAAGCAATGTTTACTAGCATCAAATTTAGCAAAGTATTTCAATAGTACAACAGTGGGTACAATTTTCAGAAATAGACCCTTTGTGGGAAAAATGTATTTTATGCTTATTGATTTCAGAGATTATTAAAATATAGTTAGGTACTTATAAAATTTGGTAATACTAGACCATGCATCAGGAGATATGAAATGTATCTCTAGAACGCAATATTTACAAGCTTCAGCTTTTGTGTTTTTCAAGTGGAAATAATAACATTCTTCCCCTAATACATTGAAGTTATATGAAAGAATGGTGGCAATATTTTTGGAAATAGTAGTTCTGTGTTAAATAACATTCACCTAAATTATGAGAACTCATGGAGAAGTGATTTATTAGGCAGCAAGATTACTAGAGACATGTGTCATCATTGTTTAATTCTGAATACAAATGCTCTCTAAATGGCTTGACTGTTCTATTTTTGATCAATGAGTTACAGGCTTGAACCAAACTCTCTCTTATCTCTGTTTCTCTTTTGTTTTTGTTCAATTCTATCTGACAGATGTCAAATGTCATCATAATAACACAGCGTGTAAAATGAAATTTCAAAGTTTCTAGGTTATCTTAAGTTTTCATATATTTCCATTTTGTATATATGTACAATCAATACTCATAAGAATATCAAATAATACATGTATTTTAATTCTTGCATTGGCTGTCACGTTTATAATAACCATAGTTGTATGTTAATATTAGTCTTACTATGATTATCAAGAGAAATACTGGTGATCAATTTAAAAAAGTGAAACTCAGAAAAGAAAATTAGGATATTTTAGTCAATATGTCTCCTATGTTTTTATGACTGAAATGCTTTGATGATCATGTAATGGAAAGTGAAACATTACTGAAATGTGATTGGTATATAAATTAACCTTATGATACAGGCAATTATATAGATTCTGATAAGATCCCTTTAATACTTCACAAAATATAATTCTGTCCAGGTAAATAGTGCAAGTTAAATGTCCAGGGCATTTCAGAGTGAGTAGATAATAACACACACACACGCACGCACACACACACACACACACACACACACACACACACACACACACAGATAGGATACACAAAATATTGTTTGATATGCTTATTAGTTACAGGAAACAAATTTGTCTTCATCACTTACTGAGTACTTTTCTTAGTAGTTTTGAGCATAAAAATCAAGGACATTTCCAAAAATTATTTAGAAGAATACAGATTGTTCTCTGACATTCTCTTTCTCTCTCTCCCCATGCCCCACAAAAATGTACTGTAATCTCTCCATAGAAAAACTTTAGATATTTTTATTTCTATAACTTGATTTATGCACAATAAACCTGTATTGTATAATTAATTGTAAGTTGCTTTGTGCATGGAAAATACAGGTTAAAAATTATCATATATATATATATATATATATATATATATATTTCCAAAAGATTACATAAATAAAATACATGATTAATATATGATATAATTTAGATAGAGACATACAATACAGTAATTTGGTAGTTGTGAAGCTATCCAACATATATTATATGTCCAAATAATATAATATTTTTGTTATCATCTTTCAAATTATTTATATTTTATTTTTTCCACATCTTCATTCTCTAATTAGTCTGTTTAGGTTCAAATGGCATGACTGAGTTTCCAAATTTCTAAAATTTTGGTCCCATGGTTTAGCTTGTTTTATTTATACCAGAACGGTTGACTTTAACAGCTGGTTTTTCCTGAAATAGTTTTGTTACTGGTTTTTCATTTCAATTAACTCCTGATCTTCTAATTTACTATTATAGAATAATTTCATGAAATATTTAAAGAGTTTTCTTATACTGATATGAAAATTTGACACTGGTTTTCCAAATTATCTAGAATCTTTATAAAACTTTCTAAAGGACCCAAAATAATATACAACATAACTAGCCACTACCTGTTGTTTAATATAGATTAGCTAATTGCTGTAATGACAGATAATTATATACCTCTTTGCCAGTTTTTCATTACATTCAGTAGTCTTGTGCTTCCTAACTCTTAATGATGAGCTATGTTGGTATATTTTCCAAGTTATATAATTTGTAATTTTAAAGTTGAAATATAAATTATTAATTATTGCTATAGAAATTAAAGAACTCAACACACTCAAAAATTCATAAACATCAAAAAGAGGATAAAAATAATAAAAATGTCAATAGCAAATGTAAAATTGATTTTTAAAATGTATTAATAATGATGAGGCATAGTTTGCATAATTCATATGAAGGCAGACACTGAAGAGTTAGTGAATGCAAAAGTTTTAGCTTTATCACTTACTTGTTTTGACCTAGGACAAATAACTTTTCTCCAATTCCTTTGGCTACAAATTATCTGAAAACAAAAGATGAGTAATTTTTAAATAAAACACAATGTCTGTGGTGGAAATTTATTTCTAAGGAACTGAAACATAACCCCAAAACTGACCAAAGACAAAAATGTGGGGATAAATATCACTGATCAAAATTTAAACTGCAGATGACAATTAATGATATTCAGGAAAGGACTGTACTTTACTTTTATATATGGTATTGAATAACATTAATCCAGGGAGTCATCAATAATAAAGTGCAGGAAATGCATGATGCAACAAACATAATATGTAAGAAATGACTAACAGTTGTATCTCTCTGATTGGAAAGTCATTGTGCTTATAATGACTCATGATTAGGCTGAAATCACATTGACAGTCCAAAGCAATTGACTCATCTCAAACATATAACCTTCATGAATTCCTTCCCCATTCAATGTAAGATAATATACGAATAAGTTTTAAGGATTAAGACTTGGTTGCCTTTGTAAGGTCATTTTTGCTGTCAGCTCATACCATTATGGTGAGATAGCCAAGTTGACTTGTGGATAATATATATATATATATATTATATGCACTATATATATATTATGCACTATATATATTGTATTTTGTACACATAAATTCATACATAAAAAACTATATTTTCTCATTCCTCACATTTCTGAATCCTTTCTGCAATATATTATCTGTACAATTTACATGCATTGCTTTTTGCTGAGATTAAAATATGCAATCATATACTTAATGCATATATTAACCAAAACATAAATAGAATATGCTCAAAATTCCATTCTTTTGAGTGAAACAATGAGTATAATCTGAAAACTTAGAAATACAAATTTTCAGTGGCACACACAGACCTGCTGAACCATAATCTCTGCTGGTGGTTCCAGAATTATGTTCTCACAGGTTATTTAGGTGTGCCTGAAGCATACTCAGGTTTGAGAGTCATTGACTTAGACAATAAAAAAACTGGAAAAAACAGTTTAGAAATTAAACATTCATTAGTGCCATCTCTCACGCAGAACTGATGTATGACATCTGCAGTGAGAATATATTTCCATTAGGGTACTCATACATGATTTGCATTCAGAATCATGAGAAGAGAGGTGATTAAATAATCATATCTCCTGAATTTAAGTCAATTATGCTAAAATTATATTGCTTATTTATTTATCTACTTATTTAATAATTTTTTTTGAGTAATAGCCTTATGTGTATTTAGATTTGGATCACTTCTCGGCCTTTGGCTAGGATCATATGTAGTATTTAAATTTGGTTACAAATGAGAATTCTGCATTGGATATTTTGTAATATAAGTAAATGTATAAAGAATTAAAGCATACATTGCAAAGAATAGAGATACAAACATCTCAATTATCTAAATTCTGGATTACCAGGAAAGACAGTAAAAGTTCATTCTGTTTTTCAAGAATAAGGTACTACAGGCTGTATAGTTCAGTGACATAGTGCCTACCTGACAAGCACAAGGCCCCAATTTGATTCCCAATAACAAATAATTATATACAGATAAATAAATACATCAGGTACTAAAGAAAGGTGAAGTATAAGAACAGAGGCTGTGGGTGAGAAGGAATTTACCTTCATATTTCTTTAAAAAATAGAATTGTGAATCTTTAACTTTTATGATTTTTAAAATTTTAATTTATGAGTTTGTGTACATAAGACATAATGTTTATATTCCTTGTGAGAAATTGGTACAAGTACATAACACATTACAGTTTCCTTTTTTTTTCTCATTCTTTATCTTTTCCTCTCTCCCACTTCCCCTGACCTCTCCCCACTGTGAAAATGATCTGTCTCTCTACTTCCTATTATCCATATTTTATTTTTCTCTTTAATTTTACTCTGGGTTTCTCATATAAGAGCTGCCATAAAATATTTAATATCGTGTGTCTGATTTATTTCTCCTAAATAATGGTCTCAAGGTGCGTCACTTTTCCTAAAAGTGATTCAAGTTTGTCTTTCTTTATGGTAGAACAGTACTCTCTGTTGTGCAAATGCCCACATGTCCTTTATCCATTTGTAGTTTTTTTTTAAAACTAGCAATGCTAAGAAATTTCTACTGGCCCAACGATCACTTCCGAGGCCACTAAAATAAGTTACCTATTGTCTGGATAATTTAATCCTATTTATACAAAATTGTCATAGTAAATATTCACATCCATGAGACTGATGAGCGTGGCACCCTTAGGGCACATGAGATCCATGACTGTAGGCAGCAGCAACCCCGAAGAAAACATTGGATTTTTTTGTTTGTTTGTTTGTTTGTTTGTTTGATGTTCAGATTCATCAAAGTAATAGTAGAAATTTGATTTAAATTCAAGAACACTACAATTGAGCTTTGCTTTCTCTTCTTTCCTTTTTTATTTTTTTTTTTAACTATCACTTTTATTCTTTTTAGGTAATCGATATGAATCATCAAGAAAGGTGACTTTAGAATCTGTCTAGACTTGACCAAGCTCGTAATGTAACTCCACTTAATTGGAAAGCCTGTCTTATAGTATTGATTAGGGTGAGTAATTGTCTGAACTGCTTAGGATTTACTGATAACCATAATGGCATGTATGAATTAATGCAATACAGAACACCAAAACGTATTTATTAATTGTTACTGACCCAATTTCTGTGCTAATTATTGTGAGTATATTCCAGACAGCAATGAAAAATTAGTAACAAGTACTCTAACTTGCCTTGGTCTGAAAGATATAACAAATTGTGTTAAAATATTATACTCTTAGATCCATATAATTTTAGTGCTTTTGCTAAGTGCGTATATTTTTCCTTTTGGGGTTTTAGGAGTAGATGATTTAACTTCACTTTTAGAAGCACACAATAACCTTCTTTACAGTTTCTTCTGCACCAATTCCCCATTCTCCTCCATTCTTCCCTAAGTGCTTAATATATATATATATATATATATATATATATATATATATATATGTTTTATATATTCTTTAAAAATAGTTACCTTAGTGTGTGTTTTTATTTACATAAATGGTCTTTTTTTAATAAGTGGCTTTTTTATACTTATATTTTTCTACATAATGGATTTTTTACTCAACATTGTTTAAAAATCTATCACACTGCTTGTGATACAAAAAGCTTTTCTGATTTGTGAAAACTTTTGAGTATTTTATCATTTGTACTTTATCCATCCTTCAATAATGGTCCCTTAGGCTTCCTCCTACTCATTAATACTAGCTAGTATGACAATTAAAATATCACTCTTGGCTAGTTGGGGAATTCATGGGAATTCATCTGCAATTTATAACCTATGAATTATAAAACACACTACCTAATACTGTCAAATTGCTTTTCAGTTTAGCTACTAGAAAAGATTGTTTTCTTTTATTTTTTCTTTCTTCCTTTTTCTTTCTTCTTTTTTTTTTTTCAGGAAACTAGCCAATCTCAAAATAACACCTATCCTACTATCTGAAGAGTTTGAGGATTTGTCAATCATGTTTTTTTGTTGCTTTTAATTGTATTCTTGTCTATGTCTCTATTATTTCTTTCATTTATTGTCAATTTTTATCAAAACTTGTGTTATAGATATTGTTTTGCCATGTACTTTAAATTTTGCAAAAATATTCCCCTTAAGGCCAGGAATTTAGCTCAGTGGCATAAGTGACTGCCTGGCAAGGGTGAGGTTATGAGTTCAATCTCCAGTATATATATATATATATATATATATATATATATATATATATGAATATATTCTTTCTGTATTTTGTTCTTCTGTTAAATTTGCACAAATTTTTTACTGGATAGCATTTCTAACATATTAAGAGAAACAAACTTAAGTATGATATATCTCAACTCCATTATTTATATCCTATTTGTGATTTATTTATTTTCTTTTTAAATTTTTATTTAAAAAAAGACTAAACAAAACAGAAAATAGGTAGAAATAATACGTTCAGAGAAAAAAATGAACAGTAAGAAATCACTAGTGGATGTTTACATATTGTTGTTTTACAAATAGTTGTTCAAGATACAAAAATGGAACATGTAAAGCGGGAATTCAAACAGCGAGACTGCAAACAGTTCTGTTCAACTGTCCAACAAAAACTTAGTAACATGGTTGTCAATCCTATACACTTAAACGTACATGCAGTTATCCATTGCTTCATTTATGTTTAGATTAAACAAACTAAAGCAGGTTAAAATCATTCTGAACAAAGAATAATAGTATTGCTAGATTTCACATCATGACACTCTGTGATCAGCACTGGGTACTGTAGTGTCTTTTTTTAAAATTTAATTTAAAGAAAGATTAAACAAAACAGAAAATGGGTAGAAATAATACATAATTTCAAAGAAAAAAATAAACAGTAAGAAATCACTAGGTGATGATTACAGATTGCCTTCTTACAAATAGTTATTCAAGATACTAAAGTGGAGCATATAAAGTGGGGATTCAAACAGTGAGATTGCAACCAGTTCTGTTCAACTATCCAACGAAACTTAGAAACATAGTTATCAATCCTATACACTTAAACATACATGCAGTTATTCATCTCTTCAATTATGTTGAGATTGAATAAACACAAGCAGGCTAATATCACTCTGAACAAAGAATAATACTATTTCTGGGTTTCACATTATGACACTCCAGGATCAGCACTGGGTATTTTACTGTCTCTTTTACTTCAGAGTATCTGTTCATTTCATCATGTGTCATAAGGTCAGTTCTCATAAGCTGTTTATGGATTCTACACATGCTTGAGTCTTAACATGTATTTCTATCCTTTCTATATTAGAGGGAGAAATAAAACAAAGCAAAGCAAAACAAAACATATTCCTATAAACATATGAAACAAAATAAACCTATAAAAGACAATTGTACGAATCGTTCTACTATAGTTTCTGTGTTGTCTCTTGTTATCTCCAATGGAATTGGCTATATCATCAAACATAATATAATTGAATATGTCAGTACATAACAGTATTAATGAAAACACAACTTTGCATATAGTATAGAACTTTAAAAACCTGTAGTAATCAAACCACAATGGGTATCATAGTGAATCTTGTCATCTTCAGTGTAGTTGCCTATACTCTCAGACTCAATACTATCAACTGTATCAGTTTTGCATAAAATCTTCTCTGCCTCATTTCTTTTATGCTCTTTTTTTGCCATCAGTTGTCTGCTTATCTTCTTAATTCTGTTTTCTACTCCATTCATTGAGGCCTCTCTGCCACTGTTCCTGGAATCCTAGTATTTTTCTCTCTCTAGAATGCCCTACAGTACTCTCTGTAGAGTTGGATTGGTTGTTGCAAATTTCCCAAGTTCCTCTTTGTCTTGGAAGTATCTTGTTTCTCCATTAATTTCTAGTGACAGTTTATCAGGGTATATCAATCTGGGATGGAGGTTATTTTCTTTCAAGGCTTGGAATATTTTGCTCCAGATGCTGACTTGATGGTTTGTGTCAAAAAGTTTGCCGTTATTCTGGTGGGTCTTCCTCTATAGGTTATCTGCTTCTTGTCTCTAACAGCTTTTAATATTCTGTTTTTATATTGAATTTCTGGGATCTTGATTATTATATGAGTCCTGAATATATCTCTTTATGTCTGTGAGTTCCGAATATATCTCTTTATGTCCACTGGTGCTGATATTGCATGTTTACTGTTCTCATTCTCCTTTGTATTTACCTGTCTTGGGTCAATGTCCTTAGGGTTGGAGCCTGGGGACTTTTTGTTGTTGCTTCCTCTTCCCCTCTTTTTTTGCTTCTTCCAGGAGGCCCCGGTTTCTTTCTTTGTTGGTTACAATTCTTCTGAAGTGTGCTGGCTAGATGACCCTTCACACTGCAGTGTGTTAGTGAGTTGCAGACAGCGATTGCGTATGCTAGCCCCTCCCCTCCAGATTAGTCAAGCTGCTGTGGCCTGCACTACTGTATTACTTTGTGTTGCCTCCCTCCAGACCAGCCACTGGGCCAATGTGGTTAGTGTGTACCACCGCTACAAGGACTTGACCTCAGATAACCTATTGGGTATCAATCAGGTCACGTGAACCAGGTTTAGCTCACTCCACCAATCCCGTTTGGGAAGGGAAAAATTGACTGAAGTCACTGATGTCCCTTGTACTTGCCAGTTCTGCCCGATCTCAGAATGTCATCCACTGGGGACTCCCTATTTATGGAATAGCTCCACTCCCGTCACTCACCACAGATCGATGTAGGCTCCCCTCCAACTCAGCTCTCCATTCAGCTCACTGACCCCCAAACTCAATGTAACTGTACCTCCAGTGAGTCGAAGCAGTGGGACCTAGGACGGCTCGGCAAGTCATGGCAGGACATTGGCCAGTTGCGGCGGGGCCTCAGCAAGTCACAGCTGGAACCAGTTGCAGCAGAACCCTGGCAAGTCACAGCGGTGGCCAGTCACAGAGGGACCTCAGATAGTCAGCAAGTCACCTTAATTTCTTCTTGGGACGAGAGAATCCATCTCCCTTCGTTTGGGGCTCTTCACTGTATTATGTTGAATTCTAAGTTGACTATCTCAGGGAGCTTCTGTAGCCAGTTGTTGTCTATCCGCCATCTTTGCTCCTCCCCATTTGTGATTTATTGTGGCATAGGGAAAGTATCTCTCTTCACAAATAAAAATGTTTTGTCTGTTTCTATCACTTCTGTATTTTGCTTTACATGCAAATTTTAAATTCACTTGAGGTTACACCACTTTAATCAATATAATTAAAGTTTTACTCTCTTCCATGTAGTAAGCCCATTTCTTAAACTCTTCCTCTTTTGATTTGTGATACCATGTATTTCCTACACAAAATTCTCATATATGATCCCAAGATTTCTATGTCTTTATTTCATTTACTTATCTATTTTTACCATTTGTAATACTATCTTTGTCACAATGTTTTATAACATAATGTTATTATCTAATTGTGCAAGATCCATGCCACCTATTATTTTTCAAAGTTAATATGGCTCCTTATAAATTGTTATATATTTTTAAAAGGTTTAAGTTATTGGAGAAGTAAAGCATGATACTATAATATACTTGTTACCCTAGTACTCGTTTTTGTGTCATATTTACCATCATAATTTAAATTCTCCATTCTATTTTTACAATGAACTTATTTTTCTTGATATATATATATATATATATATATATATATATATATTTATGGGTCTTTTGAAAAATAGACCAATGAATCAGATATGAAAATGCATCTGTATTGGTTTCATTTTGAATAGATAATATCAACTGTATTCCAGAATCCTTATACCAAATAGTGTACTGAGTTGTACTACAAATGTTTCCCATGTTAAGTATTTTTGCCTCATTATATTGTCAAACATATAAACATTTACCAACAGGAAGTTCAAAATGTGGTTTTACATGGCACATTTAATATATATTTCTTAGGTTATTAGTATCATTGAACACCTGACCAGGTTCCCAGATGATCTCAAATAGAACTTCCAGAGTTACTTGTGCAACCACCTATCATGCATTTTTACTTACACAAGGGAAAAATAAATCACAGAATATTGGAACTACTTT